ACTCCTGCATCCTATTGATATGAGGCTTTGGTGTGTATATGTATATTTATACCATGCCTTGAAGCAGAGCACAGACCACAGTGCAGGCAGGTAGGAAGCTCCTAGTGAAAGCAGGTAGAAGGGAAAGCCCAAGGACTAACAGCAGCGTGCCAGAGATGTGCCAGAGAGGCCCTAGGGAGGCAGGCATCTAACTGTGTAGCAGATATTTTGGGGAAAAAAAAAAGAAAAAAAAAAGGCAAACCAAAAAGCATCACAGCATAGTTTCAGTCACATACATCTGAGCAGGAGGCTTTTTATTATGCTTTGAAGTTATCAGAATTTATTAATTGATGCTAATTGATGTTAATTGTTGATACTGTGCTTCCACCCTTTCTGGGAGAGGGTGTGATAGCTAACACAACTCCTCCTGGGCACAGCTGCTGCAGAGAAGCAGGCTGACTGACAGCAACAAAAACCTCTGGTGACCATGAAACACAGTGGAAGCTGATTCACAAAGCCATAGCAGCACCCACAAGATTTTTCTCTGGCAAGTCACCAGCCTATTTGCTCCCACCAAGTCATGCACTCTGCTAACCCATCTCTCCAGGGGTATGTTTAAAAACACCCCTGAATGAGACGGTGCATTTTCCATGGCCTTGAAGTTTCACTTTTAAATTCTGGCAAATAATACACTGGAAATTTATTTTCACCACATTTTATGCAGTGATTTTATAATGACTGGTGTGTGTTGACATCACATTACCAAATAATGAAGACTAACAGTGCACAGGCACTGAAATACTTGACTCAGGCTTGTAGCTGTACCAGCAAGCATCAGCTTCTTTGCTGTTCAGGTGACTGCCAGAATTGCCAGGATTAGTTTTTTTGTGAAAGAGGATCTGAATTGCTAGAGAAATACACAACTGCATTTGCAAAGAGACAACAGGAGTTACACAGAGCATGAAAAGCATGTTTACAAGTTTATTAGGGAAAAAAAAAAAGTGCAAGAGAAGATCTCTTGCTTAATCTTTAAAACATGAGGGGCAATGTGAAAAACATTCTAGGCTCCAAATCCCTCTTTTCACACAGCTACACACAGAAAAAGAGGTAAAGGAAAAAAAAAAAAAAAAAGAAGAAAATAATAGATAAAGCATGACAACACATAATCAGATGCCATTGATTTATGCTGAAGCTCTAGAATACAAAACATCCGTATTCTGCACAGCTTTATCACATGAAGACCCTGGGGAATGCTCAGACCAGTTTTCAGGCAAAAATCATGCAGTTTGCTGCATGTTTGAGCCATGACACACCCTGCATTGCTTCCTCTCAACCTGAAACTCCTACTGGGTCTAGAGATTTAGAGCAAGGGTAGTCTAAACCACTGAGACTGTGGCACGTGTACTTCCAGATGCAACACAATGAAGCCCCTGGGCAGCTGTGCCGCACACGCTGCCTGGTGTTTACACAGCACAGGAGAAATGACAGACCTGGCAAACTCCAGGCTCCTAAAAAATGTGGTCTGAGGGTAAATCAGATTGAATTTGGCTCCTCTGCCAATACAACTGCCTATACACTAGAGCCTCCTGAACCTCCTTCCCTTGCCACTGCCCCAGGAAGGACAAGAACTTGCCTGGCTCTCCAAGCAGCACCCGTGTACAGGCAAGGACACAGCACTGTGCAAGAGCAACACAAATAGAGAGGTAACTCAGGACTGACGTTCTCTGCTACTGAGGCTTCAACAATCACAGAGACTAAGGGAAGTTCACTGGCAAAAAACCACACAGTGCTCCTGGCATCAGACAGTAACTAAGATGATGTGCCAAGGATCTAAAATACGGAGTTGGTACCTAACTTGCTCCAGCTTGAGGAAGCAAGCTGGTGTCTGCTCCCAGCATGGGAGCTTCACTGAGCCCTAGAGCAGCTGCAAGTCTTCATGTCACAAGAACCATCCTGTGCCTACCTGAAAAATGGTATTGTGCAGCATGGATCCTCCCTACCATCAGTGGCTTCTAATGTTGTGACTCCCAAATAAGCCAGCCTATAAAGGTAACTGGAAATGCTTTTAGTTATTCTTTCTGCTCACACAATACCTCCCTAAGAAGTGACTCCTGCATCCTATTGATATGAGGCTTTGGTGTGTATATGTATATTTATACCATGCCTTGAAGCAGAGCACAGACCACAGTGCAGGCAGGTAGGAAGCTCCTAGTGAAAGCAGGTAGAAGGGAAAGCCCAAGGACTAACAGCAGCGTGCCAGAGATGTGCCAGAGAGGCCCTAGGGAGGCAGGCATCTAACTGTGTAGCAGATATTTTGGGGAAAAAAAAAAGAAAAAAAAAAGGCAAACCAAAAAGCATCACAGCATAGTTTCAGTCACATACATCTGAGCAGGAGGCTTTTTATTATGCTTTGAAGTTATCAGAATTTATTAATTGATGCTAATTGATGTTAATTGTTGATACTGTGCTTCCACCCTTTCTGGGAGAGGGTGTGATAGCTAACACAACTCCTCCTGGGCACAGCTGCTGCAGAGAAGCAGGCTGACTGACAGCAACAAAAACCTCTGGTGACCATGAAACACAGTGGAAGCTGATTCACAAAGCCATAGCAGCACCCACAAGATTTTTCTCTGGCAAGTCACCAGCCTATTTGCTCCCACCAAGTCATGCACTCTGCTAACCCATCTCTCCAGGGGTATGTTTAAAAACACCCCTGAATGAGACGGTGCATTTTCCATGGCCTTGAAGTTTCACTTTTAAATTCTGGCAAATAATACACTGGAAATTTATTTTCACCACATTTTATGCAGTGATTTTATAATGACTGGTGTGTGTTGACATCACATTACCAAATAATGAAGACTAACAGTGCACAGGCACTGAAATACTTGACTCAGGCTTGTAGCTGTACCAGCAAGCATCAGCTTCTTTGCTGTTCAGGTGACTGCCAGAATTGCCAGGATTAGTTTTTTTGTGAAAGAGGATCTGAATTGCTAGAGAAATACACAACTGCATTTGCAAAGAGACAACAGGAGTTACACAGAGCATGAAAAGCATGTTTACAAGTTTATTAGGGAAAAAAAAAAAGTGCAAGAGAAGATCTCTTGCTTAATCTTTAAAACATGAGGGGCAATGTGAAAAACATTCTAGGCTCCAAATCCCTCTTTTCACACAGCTACACACAGAAAAAGAGGTAAAGGAAAAAAAAAAAAAAAAAGAAGAAAATAATAGATAAAGCATGACAACACATAATCAGATGCCATTGATTTATGCTGAAGCTCTAGAATACAAAACATCCGTATTCTGCACAGCTTTATCACATGAAGACCCTGGGGAATGCTCAGACCAGTTTTCAGGCAAAAATCATGCAGTTTGCTGCATGTTTGAGCCATGACACACCCTGCATTGCTTCCTCTCAACCTGAAACTCCTACTGGGTCTAGAGATTTAGAGCAAGGGTAGTCTAAACCACTGAGACTGTGGCACGTGTACTTCCAGATGCAACACAATGAAGCCCCTGGGCAGCTGTGCCGCACACGCTGCCTGGTGTTTACACAGCACAGGAGAAATGACAGACCTGGCAAACTCCAGGCTCCTAAAAAATGTGGTCTGAGGGTAAATCAGATTGAATTTGGCTCCTCTGCCAATACAACTGCCTATACACTAGAGCCTCCTGATCTTGTTTTTGCTTCAATCCCTGCCAACGAGTAAGAGAGCTGCCTGCTTGAAGAATAAGCAGTGAGGTTAAGCTGCAGATCTGCTCACTTCTTTCCCTCTTGGACTATTGCTTTCACTCTGATAATGTTTTACTCAGATTTTCTTTATTTAAATTGATTCATCACTTCTAAGAAAAAAGCTGCTGAAGCTAGCCAAGGCCTTGCATCTACCATGGTGATCCTCTGATCCTTGACTGCAGACCTCAAGAGCAAGAAGACAGAAAGTTATAAGCTGTCACTTTCTGATCACCATGTCAAGCAGGCAAAGACATACTGACTAATAAGGGGGGCAGGAAGAAGTGAAACGACTTTTAAATAGATCACTATCTGGGCATTCAAATTGATAACAAGAACAATACCACCACTTCAAGCAGGAAGCCAACTAAAAATACACAGAAGCCCAAATAAATTTACTGACTCCCAACTGATGCAAAAGCTGTACGGTCAGGGATCCTTTCAACAGGATAAAGCAGGCAGAACCATTCAAGGAATGAAAAATCTCTGATCCCAAATAAACCATGGCCTCCAAGGTAAACATCACATAAAACTGAGTTTGTGTGCTCTGGAGAACCATGGTATACACACACAACAGGGTATCCTGACAAGTAGCTCCTCACATTAGAATCTGTGACCTATTTCTCCTGGACAATTTTGCAGGTGGCTGTTTTAGCTGCAGTAAACAGGCATAGTTACACTGAAAACAATTTCAGTTTTCCTACTAAAATACAGGAGTATAGTCTACTGAAGAAGAGACAGGAAGGAAAATGGGGATTCAAAAGATTACACAAGTTTGAAATTGTCCATAGGTAAGTCATGAATGCAACTTTTTGTAAGAAGAAAACTCTTGAATGTCATATATGTGTATATATAGGTATCTTTAAATTAAATGTGACCCAAGTCACCTTCTGAATATTTGGGGGTAGATTTCAGGAGCCTCCTTGGCTTCTGGTACCCACTTCTGCTTTCACAACTGAAATGACTCTTCCAAGCTACATGGTAAACTGAGAAAAAAGTCAATTCCCCACCTGGAGGGACAACAGAATGCATATGCTAGCAGCATTTAAATCCCATTCCTGTTAAGCACCAAAACCATTTCTATAGGGAAATTTTAATCTTAAGGATAATCTTTAATCATATACAGTGTATGTGCAGAGCCCTGCCTTTTGGGCAGAAAAATAACCCTCCAGCATTAGTTTTGAATAGATTACATCGATTGGAAGTGTCCTGGTCAGATCACCAAAAACATTGTCTCTTGCAGGCCCTTCCCCAAAAGATCCCAATCCTTTAACTACTCTTGGCGCCGCTTTCACGACTGTTTGTTCCCGTGTATTAAAGGGATGACGTAGACAGAGATGTCGTCTCCAGAGCCCAGCCTGTCGTTGGATATCCGCCAGCCCCGGTCCTTCAGCACCCCCCTGGCTCGCATCACCAGGTCCTGTGCTGCCAGCGTGTACCTGTGGAAAAGGCAGAACACAGCCAGGGAGTGCTCATCCTCATGAGGCAAGTGGCTGCTCACAGCCTGCAAACTTCACCCTCGGGAGCTACCAGGACAAGCAGGAGAAATGCAAAACCCAGCACAGCCACAAAGCAACCCCTTCCAGTTCAGTGACGGCTCCTGCCTCAGAAGCTGAAGGTATCTGACAGGCACTGATTGATCAAAGAGTCACCCATCATTCTGGGTGCCCTGCTTCCCAGGTTTTCAGGAAAATACTTAAGCACTTGCCTTAACAAGTCCGCTTTAGAGCAGCAATCTGAAAAAGCTGAGGATGCTACTTATTGAACACTGTGCCCTTGTGGACTGAAACATTTGAAGGTAAATACAGGTCGACTATTTCAGAGATAAACTCTAACAAAGAAAGGGATTTGAAAGTAATAGAGCACTAAAAATAAAATCCTAATTAAACTTTAAACCAAGTAGAATAACTTGTCTGTTTTCCTAGAGCATAAGAAAGATTTTTAAACCTCTTTTATTCTGAAACTGGAAAAGGAAACCAACAGTTAATACAGCCAGATTAACAGATTCCCACAGTCCTTTCACATTTATGACTTCAATGAAAACTGTGTGAATGTGAGTTGTCAAATGCTTAATTTAGTGAAAAAACAAGTTTCGCATTGCTTCAAAACTCCCAGCCTGTGCTGGGCTGAGTGGCACTTGATTTATGGGAGTTATTTTCTGTCCTGAAAAAATAACAGATGCTGCTTGGGGACAGAAGGATGTCAGAGTCCAAAAGGTGGTGCATGACAGTGTTCTGTCATGTTCTTCCTTATCGTTTTACCTGCTGTTACTAGATCAACACATCTGTGTACTCACTTAGAAATTTCCTCTGAAAACAAATATCTCACGGGTGAACAGCTACTGTCACGTTTTTCTTCATCAGTTCAACACCTGGCTGAGGTGTTTTGAAATTGGTTGGGTGTAGGCAACCTTTTCTATTATTTGATAATTAAAAATTTATCAGGCAGTTAGAAGACTGACAAGAAAAAACAGTTCAATGTTGTGTCTGCCTGTGTTTTATTTAAAGGGTAACTGCCAGCCTCCAAGATGACGTTGGGGCTCTATGAAACCACGAAACACAGGCTGCCAGTAGCAAAGCACACCTCTGCAGTTTCCAGAAGCAAGGAAGGACAAGAAGGGTTTGCATTTCAAGACTTTTCTAGGGAGGATCCTTGGCCAGAAACAATCTGCCCAGACCCCAGCTGAGGAACAGGAAAGAACAGTATCTCCATTGATCAGAAGCAGTGGGAGCAGGGGGGTGAAAGAATTTATCAAGTATCTGGGACTGTTCTAACCCCAGAAATTTTCTCCAGAGAATGTATTATTAAACAGTAACTTTTATCCATAGAAACTTTGTTCATTCTCTGGGGATAAAAGAAGGAAAACCCAGCAATTATATTGTGTTTCAACAATTTTGGTGCTTTAAGCTGGAATGACTCCTTTGAACCAGGAACAGATTTATTTTCTCTTCTAGAAAGATTTCATCAATGAGAACGAACCAACATTTGACTGCCCAAAAGGTCTGATGTTGAATCCAAGTAATGTTGTGCAAAAGCAATGCACTCCCCACTCCTAGGGGGACTGAGTGAGAAAATTTCCAGCCCTCGCTAGTTTTGCCAAAATATTTACTTCCAGCAATAAGAGAAGGGCCCAAGGCATGAACTCTAACACACACGCTGCACAAACACGTGCACACTCTCCGCATCTTCCCAGGTAAGTCTGTACCAACAACCTCCAGCTATAGTGGCAGGATGTAACAAGAAGCACAGCCTGTACTGTCCTAATGCAACAGGAAATGTATTTTCTAAGGGGAAAAAGCCCAAACATACATATTTGCAGTCCCCAGTTCCCAAATCCCCAGATCAGATGCAGGGCTAAGGAACAAAAGGACTCCACGTGGCAAGCGAGAAACTGGAATATTTATTCACAGTGTGTCTGATGCTGAGTGAATCTTTTCCAAGGATTTCTCAGCTATTGTCAGAATTTAAGAGAAGAAAACACTCATCATCCTGCAAGAAAACTTTGCCTTCCTCCTTTTTCTAACTAATGAGAGCTCCCCAGATTTCAAGAGTACAAAGGAATGAATATTGCTTTTGCTGCTTAGTGTTTGGAGAGGTCATAAAAAAAGGAATGTTAATAAACCAGAAATTCTCATAGAGAGACTGTGAAATACACAAGAAAATAAACAAGAAAATGAAGCAAAGGAAAAGGAACAGGTGAAGGCAGTAGCAAGGTAACATATTCCTCTCCATGTGTAGAGCTGAATTGAAGGTGATGCTTCTCAGCTTGGCACTAGAGATAGGGTGAGTCTCTTGTACCTGGAGATGAATAGCAGCAGCAGTCCATTACTGAATGTTTTATTCTCCAGTGCTGTGAACTTGGGATTCAGCTGTCGAGACAGTATTAGAGAACTGCTGAAGTAGTTTTAAAGTATCCACTTCCTCCTAATGAACAGCCTCGCTGGAATACAGCTTTTGTGTTTTAAGAATAAATATATGTGGTTTTTTTCTTCTGATGAAGCTTTCGGTATTGATCAGTGAAAGTACTGCAGGAGAAATGGTGACAGTGGGGAAACGTGCTGCTGTCTGAGCAGCTTCTTATCTTCTCACATCCAGCAGAGGTGGAGCAACTCTCCAGCATCCTCATAAACCTCTAGCTAGTGTGAGAGAGAGAGTGAGAGGGAATGAGAAAGGACAGGAGAGAGGAGGAGAAATAAAAGATTCCCAAGGTCAGTGGGAAAACCTGCTTAAGTGCAGCTGAAGGAAATGGGCAAGAATCATGCTTCTCTATCTTCATATCTCTTCAGAGAGATGATGTATGGAAAGCAGCAGTGTGTCGCTACCACCTGTTCTTCATGCAGGGTCCCCTTCATGCTCTTGTCTGCCACAATCCATGTAAGAAATGAGCTGGGTAAGAAATACATCTGCACTCCAGTTTCTTTCCTCCATTGCAGCCCTCACAGAGGAACTGTTCTCTAATCAAATCTGTGCCCATCACCGGCTGCCCAAATCCCCTGAGGCTCTGTCTGCATGGCTGGGTGAAGACAGCCCCAAGGACTTTGCTCTGCCTGTACTTGGAGATGCCCAGACACATGCTACATTTGACAGGGTTCAAAGATGTTTTTCTGTGGGTAACAAACACTCACAGTTCTGACAGTAAGTATCAGCAGGAGAGAGTCCCAAGAGGATTGCCAAAGGCTGTAAGGCTCTTACCCATTAGGCTATAAAATTACTTCTAATTCAAATAGGAGGGATATGGTTCCCACAAAGAACTAATTACATAGCAGATAAATACTCTCTAGCTCTAAAATCTTCCTCTCTAGCTTTTTTTTTTTTTTTTCCTTTTTAACTATGTTGCTGTCAGGGTGAAAGTAGGCTACTGGGTCAGGCAGATCCCAGGCCTGCTCCATGGGTAGGTTCTCCAGAAGACCATAGCACTACCAAACCCAGGAGGTAAGTCTCTTACATTCTGACAAGTTTTCTACGTCCCCAGCGATTTAAATTTCCAGCTGATCACCTCACCACAGACTATGTCACTATACTCAACACAGAACCTGACATTTTCTGGGATAACGTTTCCTTTAAACATAACCCTGATAATACAGCAAACCAGATTTCCTTGTCACTGACTAGTGAGAGGAATGAATGCAGCTCCACAGTCTGAGTTGCTATGCTATTGTAAATTCATTAGTTATACCTCATTTGGACCACTGTGAAGTAATTACGTAAAACCTCTCACACAGTGCTTTAAACCCTTTAAATATTCCTTACAACCAAGCAGCAGAGCAATTCCACAAAAGTAATTTTCATAAATATAACTGTAAACTATATGAGGGACTGCTCTAATTACCTTTTGCAAGCCAGCATGAGAAATGTCTTGCCACCACTATTTGTAAGCCTCTAAATGACCTGGCACAAAGTTACTTAGAAGAACAAATTAATTTTCAATTGAGATGTCCATTCATAGACCAGTAGGTCAAACACCAATAAATGTGTTTGCTCTAACTCATAATACAGCAGGCCCAGTTCTGGTGTATGCTGTACTCACGCTGGCACAAACGGGGACTAATCCCCCACAACCACTCGGGCTAAACCAGTGCAAACAAACACATGTGAAACAAAGAAAATACCTTTTTTTCCTGTAGTGTCTCTGATTTCTACATGTGTTTTATACGAGTAATTTTTCATCCATTAAAACAAGGCAAAAAGCTCGAACAACGAATCCCCGTCCCCACTGCAGCGAACACAGTGGCCATCACCAGCTTTGGGAAGATGAAAAGGAACAAGACAGACACAACACACTCAGACTATATTCTCACAGACAGCACCAGCAAGGGCAGTAGGAAGAGCCAGCCTTTTCCCAATTACTAGATGAGAATGGGGACAGAGAAGGGCAAAGACATTACCTTTTAGCAGGTGCCTTTGCAAGAGAAGACTCAGGGGTGCAGAAATGAGAGCAAAAGCTCCATAGCACCTCTGAATGGTGCCAGGGAATAACCAAAAGCAGATTGGGTGGGTCACCTCTTCCTACCCTGAATCAATGGCCTACCCACACAGCACAGTGCCAGATGCTCTGGAATTGACCCTGGCTAATCCTGCCTGATCTCCTCTCAGAGAGAGGGCAGAGACACTTCCATATCTTGCTGAAGTAGAGACAGCCCTGGATGTATTCATACCACATCTCCTCTACAGCACAAGGAAGCAAGGGAGGTCAAAACACTGCGGTTGCAGCTTCATGTTAATCATCCATTCACTGGAAGACTGAGTGCTTACAGCAAAACCTCACTTTGCATTCCATGTTTCTAGGTGTCAGGGCAAGAAAATGCTGCTCGCGAGTTATGTTGGAGCTGCTCCCACATTAAAATCCAAGTGGTTGTCAGGGTGTCCCAATTATCTTCCTTGCTTGCTGATGGAGAACAGGGCCGTCCTTGTGACGATGACCACTTAGGAACATGCAAAACACCAAGCATTTTGGGATGGGTTTCCCCATGCCCTCAAGAGTTGCCACATCTAAACAACTGTAACTTGAGCTCTCGTGCGGTCCCATGTGTTTTCACTTGGATGCCAAGATATTTCAGAGCTTATTTCTGAAGCTCTGCTTTCTGCCGACCAACTGGGGATGCGTAAAAAGCTCTTTCCCACTCTCAGCCCAAGGCAAGGTCAGAAGACAGTGATGGCCAGGCCTGAATTCAGAAACAACACACACTTCCCTTTCTGAATAGCCCCTAGGGAAGGATAAAGCTTTTTCCACTTTCACAGTCCTCTCTTCTAAAAGCAAGAGAATTCTGATCTCTAGTATAATGTTTTAATTCACGGAGACACCCAACTCAGCAGCAGACACACTGATGGACTTGCTCAAGGCTGACAGTGCTCTAGCTAGTTGTTAATGAACTTGTTTGCTTGTGTTTTAGAGAGAGCAACTGAACAAGTAAGAGGTGATAAAGACAGGAAAATTAAGAGGATGAGGTAGGTTAATACTGTGAAATGAAACAGACTCCAACTGTAACAGAGTAAGACTTCCCACCTATTTCCACCTACTTTGTCACTGCATCTCTCCTGCAACTGGTAGCTCTAAGCATCCCCTACTGAAGGTGGGTTTAAAGGCTAAGGCACGACCTTTGGGAACCACACTGTGCAGTATTTATACATACATACAGTAAGAGAGATACATGCTGATGATGACCTAGTGAGAAGCAATCTTTAGTGTTAAGGGACTATCCAGAGGAGTGGAAACCTGTCACTGCTAGAGACAGACACCTGTTGCTAAGACCTCAGCCTCCTACAGTTTCCACAGGATTCTGTACAGCAAACAAAATTGATCCCATACCAAGATACCATGATCCCACAACTTCTCCTTCGAAGATATGCAATTCTGAGTTACAACAGACTCCCCCAACCTCCGCATTTGCTGTAGATGCTCCATCCAACTTATAAAAATGTCCAAGTGTTGTATATTTACTGAATGTTATTCATGTCATACATTCTACAAAAATACATTACCAGAAAGTGCTCTTTTGCAGAGAATCTAGAAACTGGAAATGAGCACAAACCTGTGGGGATCATCAGGGTCACAGTTCGGTAGAAAGTTAGTGACAGCTTCTGCCACTTCTTCATTTAACAGCACATCCCAGAGTCCATCAGTAGCTAGGATCAGAACATCATCTGGCCCATGCTCATACTGCAGGAGGTCATAGACTCTCACCTAAAACAAAAAAAACCCCAAGAGACATTCATGAAAAAGAAGACTGCCAAACTGCTTGTGAAAAATTGATGAATTTGGTTGCATGTTAGGAGGTTCATCTGGGGCACTAAAATACCTCTCCTGCAGCACTGCTGGGGGTTCTTCCCAGTTTAGCCCTTAGGCCAGCAGTTACTTCTGCCCTGGCATGGCTCCAGTGCTGACCCCAGCTGGGATGGACACAGTCTACCCTTAGCAAGGCTGCCAGCAGCCCTCAGAGCCTCCCCCACCCCACAGCCTGGTTCAGTGGGTGAGGCTCTTCCCTATCATTGGCAGGACTAGTCATATGGAGCCTGAATAATTTATTTGATGAATATTTGATATTTTCTAATAAAATATTCACAAATAATTGTTTTCACTATTTGTCCAGTTCCATTTAAGTCTGCCAGATAAATTGCACACATTGGGAAATGTCTGTGTGGCAGTAGGCATCACAATCAGCAGCTGCTGCAGTCAAGAATTACAGTGTAGTTAGATGAAATGGAGAAAGATTATTTACCTGCTCAGTTATGTGTATCTGTAAGGAGAAATCAATTCAAGATCTGCACAAAAGTGAACCCCTAGCCTATCTGCACTATTACAACACCCACTGGCTTCACCTTGTCAGTGTACAGCTGCAGTCAGGCTGACCACTGCTGCTGGCACCTCCGTCCCAGCCTGCCTTTAAAACTACTTCCACCGTCCCCTCCTCAACGAGGCTGGGGAAAGCCAGGAGTGCAGTGAGCAGACATGGGGGGTGCCAGGAGGCTGTCAGCTTCAGCTGAGCCAGATTATGAGCAAAGGCCATGGCAAGTGTTTTTAAATGAGCCTTTAGCTTGGTGTAACTCCTTCCAGCACACGCTGTACTCCAGCTGACAAATCGCCTGCAATTCCCAGGCTGCGATGGGAGCCGGTACGAAGCACTCACAGAGCACTTTAATTACCACAGCAACAACCACAGCTTGAAAGAAGTGTGACAACCTTGGCAAGGCAGACAGGAGGAAACTATCATCTGTTCTGAAGTTTGGAAATGGTGCACCTTGTCACGCACTCTGCTCCGGCCTCGGGCTCCACTAACAGCAAAGGCAGTTGGGAAATTTGTCAGGACAAACACTTGGCATAACTAGAAAATATGAGCTGTTTTATTCTCCCTCCTGGTGCATTCTCCCCTTAGGAGCCATGGAGCAGGCAATGCACATAAAATGGCTGGACCTTTTAATGTAATTATGATTTTATGGGGCTGCAACCAGTACCAGAGAGAAAGAAAAAAAAAAATAAAAAAATCACCTAGACCTGACTGCTAATCCTTACTTGTTCGCCTTTGACTCAAAAGCACTACAAGGTCATTTGTAAAATGTAACCTATACTTCATTATCTTAGGTAGCAGCTGAATAAGGACTTTGGAGAGGATTAAAGTCAAGGCAAGATACTCTCTTCATTAGAACATATCTTCTAATTCAGACTGAGTGGGAATACTGTTATAGAAAAGTTCCCTATGTGCAGCACAGCTCCCATCCCAAGCCCACTGCACAGAAACCAGTACCTGTCCTAGTCCCCATCTCCCAGAATTTAGTTCAGCCTCTGACAGTCCAGGGTTTCACCTTGGAAATCACTGATGTGTGGAGGATAAGTTGGCAACAAGCAGCACATATTCTGGTCAGATCTCTTGGGTACAGGCAAATATTTGAGAGAGCATCAGGGTTAATGCTCAGGGATGCACTCAGCAGCAAGCCCCTAGGAGGAATAACCAAGCTTTCAATGTCAGTGCTAGGAAAAACACACCTACCTGGGCTCTCCCACCTAAGCAAAGTACACATTGCACCATAAGAGCCTTTCCTGAAGTGTTGGTGGGGGAGAAGGCAGGAAACCAAGACTGTGTATCACTTATTTGAATAATCCTGAAATGAACAATCTTGTCTGACTAGGAAGTGGCACTGGTGTGGGTAAAAAACCTGGCAAAGCTATCTGCAGCCAGTCCACAAGTCAAATGGTCCAATCCTTGGTGCAGCACAATGCTAGAGCAACACCAAGAACTTGTGAAAACAAACAAAAAAAGCAATTGTTGATTTTATGGGTAATTTGGGAACAAGGTAGTTACTTCATAAAAGCAAAAGCTTTGTGAATGAGCACCTCCAGAACGGGGTGCCATTGAGAAGGAACTAGATGTCAGAAGAGGTGCAGAGAAGGTCAGTGGGGTAAGCACAATAAGGGATGCTAGGCTGGTACCCAGGCTAAGGAAAAGAGAGTGCCAAGGTTACAGGAAGCAAGCTTGGGTAAGATTCCTGTATACAAGAACCAGTTGGACATGCCACAAAACGTTCACTGAAATGTAGCTTTGTCTGCCTTCCAGTTACCACAGCAGCAACACATTAGGGCAGCCATGTCCACATAATACTTCTTTTTTTCTTAAACTTTTTTTCTTTCTTCTGATTTCTAAAATACAGCTGTAGGAGCCCTCCATAGGGTGCTGACAAAAATGAGTTAACTTAAAGCTGTCCAGCATATCATAGGTTCCTGTTATTGCTCACAGACCACCTTGCCCAGGCACAGAAACAAGCCAGCTCCTAAACCTTCACTTTTCTGCTAGCAGCTTTTTCAGGTTCTTTGTTGGGTCAATGAGGGCCTCTTGCAGCAGTGACACATGCCTTCAGCTAGACATGGAGCAGCTTGACAGCAGAGCTCCTGGAGGCACACGGGTTGGGCAGCACCACCAAGGCACAGCTACAGGATGATCAGACCAGCAGGGCTCACTTAACATCCACTCCACCCACCCGCACGTTGTGCAGCACCCCAGAGCACACTTCGCACATGCTGTACAGTGAAGGTGAAGGACTCTGACGTGCCAAAGTTTCGGAAAGATGAGGAGTGATCCAGGGAGTTACCTAAGTGCCTGAAACAGCAAGCAACCCCACAGCACTGTAAATCTTATGTGACCAAAAGCAACTCATTGACATCCATGGAAATTACTAGGGTTTATTTTTTCCTTTCCCCAAAAAATTTCACAGCCAATCTTCTCAATGACTGCCTCCTTCCCATAGACGTATTTCAGGAAACCAAACAACAGTGAGGTTTAAGTGATGTTCTCTCTGTGACCTAAGTTTGCACAAAGCTGCACACACTGCAAGTATTGCCTAGCCCTGCCAGCGCAGTTGGCCAAACACCGGCTGGCAGTGCAGAGGTCTTCTTAACTGGTGCTGCATCCCTTGACACATTTCCCAGCAATTCCACTCCAAAACTTCAATCTTTCCCTCGTGACTCATTGCTTCTTACAGTCAGATGTCAATCCTGATGGTGCCCCATAGAACTCTTCCCCAAACACCTTGGGCTGCCTGTGCTCTGCCTTCTGACTCCTGTGCTTTTTCAGCAACTCCCCCAGCCTACCAGCCCCTTCTGTGCTGCCCTGGCAAACTTTCTCACTCTAACACCTCTCTGGAGCATCAGGGCAGACCCAAAGGAGCCCAGTTATGTCACCGTACTTCTACCTGATGTCTGTCTTGATGTAGAGCAGCTGACCTGTTAATTAGCTGAGCCTGACTTCAGTAACCAGAAACTGTGAAGAGCCAACTATAAGAAAGGAGCATGAGAACCTCAGTAGTAAAGACACTCATGACAGCAAGCACTGGGTTACACTACATTCTATCCTGACTGGTGCTGACAGATGTCTGCTGATAGGTAACAGCAGATACACACCACTTGAGCCCTCAGCCACACACGACATCTTTCTGAACGTGTATGAGGTAGTTTGTCGCATAACGCCTTTCTTCAATCCAGGTCTTTTTCCCTGGTGTTGCTCACCTACACACAGTCCAGAGTGCAGAGAAAAATGTTCTGGGCAAGTAACAAACAAACAGGTGGGCTGGTTTGATAGTTACATTTTAAACAGATCTACCCACTAGACAAGACCTGCATTTGGCTGCTGAAAAGGACCACAGCAGCTCTCTGAAGGCTCCGTGGCTTGTTTGCCAGGATTGTTTTTAAGAGGCAGCCAACGTGAGTCCCTGTGGCTGGAAAACCACTCACGACAGAGCGACACGCGAGCCCGGAGCCACCTGAGGGGCTCCTCAGCAGCCACCCTCGGGGGCTCCAGCCGAACAACAGCCCTCATTCACTCACTTGCACTACTGATCAACATGGCTACTTCAATAAATTAAGCCCTTTCTTAATTGTATCGTCCCTTTTTATGCGCAGTGTTATCCAGCACGGCTTCGCTGGCAAGCAACGAGGGCTTTCACTACTACCCTCCAAGTAATTTATATGTAAATAATAAAAAGCGGGTCCCAACACTGCTCCCTGCAGCACTCACCAATTAATCTCCTTTTAGCTTTTTACTGCCACCCTTTGTTTCCTGCCCTTTAGCCAATTTCCAGCAGACTGTGCCAACTTTCCACTTAGTCTGTAGCTTCATATCTTTTATATTAATAACCTGTGATGCAGAACAGTTTCTCAAGCGTTTTCTGAGAAATCAAAGTACTCATGCAAGACCATCTACTGCATTTATTATTATTTTTTTAATTCTCTGGTAGACATAGCCCTGAAGGACTTCAAACCACTAAAGTGTGATGTTTGCCACCCTGACTCCCTTTGATCATACTGTACTTCTCTAAATATTTGCCTTACTTATTCCCTTCAACAATGTAATTCCTAAGGATTTCTTCAGAAGGCAGATGTGAATCTGAAACGGTCTCCTTTGACATATTTGTGGAGTTGTCAGAAAGATTTTACTAACATAATGGAACAATAAAAACTCTGCTTCATTACCTTCTTAAAGTTCACTGTGGTGGCTGGCTTCAGGTTCATTGTTGGCAAGGGCCAAATGCTGCCATCAGAGCCACACTTCTCCCCACCAAATGGCTGAACTGCCTTTTGAAAAATTTCAAGAAGATGTTCTGCTTTTCAGTTGCAACAAGGTGGCTATTGCTGAGCTTTCAAAAGCAGAATTTCCTGCTG